CCTGTCCAGGTGTCCTAATGGTGGACTGGAGACCTGTCCAGGTGTCCTAATGGTGGACTGGAGACCTGTCCAGGTGTCCCTGAGACCCAGAAACTGGGTAAAGAAAACAGGTTTCCTGAATTATTCTTCATTTCTGCTGCTATAGACTTAGACTGCTGGAGCACAAACTGAGCACATTTCCTCACTCTGCTGTTGTCTTTAGTCTCTCTTCTCTACATGTTTATTGTTATTATTTCTATCATGTTTTTTCTTTGTCTCTTCCAGAAGAAGGTGCACCTGGACCAGTCCTGGACCAGTTCTTCTGTGTTTGTCTGTGTCTCTTTCCTGTCTTCCAACCAGCCGGTCGAGGCAGATGGTCTCCTGTCCTGAGCCTGGTTCTGCTGGAGGTTTCTTCCTGATTAGCAGGGAGTTTTTCCTCTCCACCGTTTGCTCAGGATGGGAGACTGTGATGAAGTGATTCAACACAATCTGCTGCTTTCTTCTTTAGATTATTCTTTTTATGTGCAGTGCCCTGAGACAACGTATGTTGTGACTTGGCGCTATATAAATAAACTTGAACCATTAATCATTAGCCCATATCTCTGTCCATTTAACAGTCATTGAGGTAAAATTTGGTATAGCAGTAACTGAGAATCTTTTTGTGATATTATGTGAAAATGCTTAATCTTTTACAAATTTTGACCAACATATGACCAGAACACTGTCTCTTCTCACCACAAGATAATCATAGCTTCAAAACTTGATTTAAATGGTGGCGGTTGAGACGCATTCTTTTAATTATGATAAAAAAAAATTGGTTTTCTCATAATTTACTTTTTCATGGTGAATTTGAACGTTTCTTGCAGAAATAGTCTCTTCTTAACTAAAGGTTTGTCATGTTGACGTATAGAATCATTTGAACTCTTATTATGTCGCTGCTTTGATCCAACAAATATTTTGCCTGATTTCTCTGAGCCAATCATCTCGTGCGTGTCATCCTTTAAATATCACTGGTAAGTTGATCTCGGCCTTTCAAAATGGTCTTGCATCCCAGCCTCCTCCTCTTCCTCCCCATCTGGGCTTTTCAGTTTGTCTTTGCCATCTTTGTCTTAAATATTTTTGGTCCAATCCTCATTGAAACAGCACTCTTCAGAGTATGAGAAGTATACTGTAAACTGGTTGTTTAGGGCCAAAAAATCATCAAGTTCACATTTTTATTCACTGAGATTTATTTGATTCTCACATCTTTGGTTTTGCAGGTATTTGAAGTATTTGGGTATCACGTCACTGCTGCGGTACATTAGTTTCACTGAAGCTATTCAGAGTCAAATTACAGTCCCGGCGGCAGCTTCCAGCATGAAATCTTTATTCATCCTTTCAAGGCATTCTGTAACTTAATACCCTTCATTCACACGTTGCTTTGAGACTCCCTTGAAGCAGTTTGTCAGAGCAATGAGGGTCCTTTTTTCTCTCTACTGTGCATCTGCTGGAATCAAAGCCTGGAATTCCAGCACTTCTTTAGTTTTTTTTAAATAAACAAAACATTTGAATGCAGAAGTAAAAATAAGTTTAATTACAACAAAGCAGCAGATCAAATCTGAAAGACCTTTAACAAAAAATTATTGCTGACAGTTTTGCTGCAGAGTCAGATCACTGGATGTTTCTGATGCATTTCCTGTGTCTATTTGTCGCCATCATGGGATCCAGTGAATGTGTCCAAGGACATTTTGTTTTGCTTTGCTTGTTTGTTGTACACATTAAACACTGTAAAGTGACACAACAGACAAAGCAGAAATTAGCTTTTCTTTTTAATTCTCTGTTTTAAGCCAATTTTCCCAAAAATATTCTCCAGTTTTAAAAATGGTACAAATTACATTTTGATTTGGGGAAAATCATCATAAAGGAGACAACATTATTTACATGTAAAGGAAAAGACTCTGTCTCAGGCCTTGTTCACACCAACTACTTTTACAGCAACAAAATCTAATCTAAGTGAAGCTAAACATACATCTTCAAATCAGAGGCACCGTTTAGTCACGGGAGGACTGATGGGCTTAAATCTGAGAATGAGTTGAAGCATTACATTTAAAATGTTAGCTTGATGGTGGGACAGTTAAACTGGACACAAACAGGTTTTAAAATGGTGCACGAAGACAAAACTTGACAAATCCTACATGTAGCCTAAAATCCTAAAGAACAACATCAAGTTCTGTGCTGTTTCAGAAGATGGGATATTTTACAAAATAAATGTTTTCGTGTCCCATTTTCACCTCTTCTTAAAACACAAACTGCATTGATCTGAAAGATGAAGATTTTTTTTAAAAGTCCTCAGTGTGTGCTTGAAATTGTGAAATTTTGGGAAAACGATGACATCACTTCCTGCTCGCTCGTGGTTGGTTGAACTCGAAATAAACAAAGTGCAGTTTTTAACTATTTTTTCCCATTTTCTTGATTTGTTCCGACAGTCACCAGAAAATTTTGCCCATGTGTTGAAAAAGTAAAATATTGAGAATAAATCAACAAAATGTCAAATTAAAAACAAACTACAATTATTTTACGACAATCACTACATGTTCTCCGTATTTTTGTTTGTTTTAAATAGTACGTCCTTTTCCATTACTTGTTTGTAACCACCTGCTACCAAAAGATGGGTGATTGTTTTTATCCTGTGTCCGTTCATCTGTAACATAAATATCTCATCAATGACAAAAATTATTTTAATTTATTTTAAATAACCTTCGCTCATCAACCAGTGGATAGAATTTAATGAAGTTTTTGTAACGACTGGGCAGACGTCTACAAGTGATCAACCTCTGAAGTCAAATCATGTTGGCCTCTACAGCTAACTGATCTTAGCCAACACACAAATGGCCGAGCTGAAATGTGTTCCGATGGAAGTTTAGACTCAACACACACTCATAAACTGTGTTACAGATTGTGATCTCATGATATTGTGGAGGTCACACGAAATGTTATTTTCAAGATTTGACCAAGACAGCTACAACTCCATCATTTCTCAAAATAACGTGATCTTGCCTGGCTTCAATTCCAAGTTTGTTATGTCACTGAGCTGGATAAATATACATATTTTTGCAAAAAAATGTATGCTTTTGGTCCCTCACTTGTGTCTGAGCTTGTTTTCATACAGAGTTCATTCATTTGAAAATTAAGATTTTTACGTTATTTCCTGAAAAGTTGCCCATCTGGTGACATTGGATTAAATAAAATTATCTCGTGGGCATGAGTTGATTTTGAGCAGCCCTGTCTCTTATTGAGACATTGTTGGAGTCAGATTATATATCAATATGTTAATATGTTAAGATAACGCACACTAATTATTATTATTATTATTATTATTATTATTTGGTGGATGTTTAACATTTCATTTTTCATAGTAGGATATTTATGAGATGGCAACCGATGCCTTAGGTGTTTGTGTCGGGCAACAGAATTTTTCCTGTGTGCAATATAACTCTGACTTGAGCAAAGGCACAGAGAGGAGCCTGTTTTCTGTTAACCTGCAAAAAAAAATAAAGATTTTTGGATAAAGACAACTTCAGTCATAATAGGAATTTCTTCATGTCTAACCTCAAGTGACTGAAGAACCTTCATTCATTCCTATAATGAAATAAAATGTAATTAATTCAAACTTTTCCATGGAAATCATAATTATCTTGTGGCCAGGCGTTATTATCCAGTGGCCACAATATTATTTTATTTTTATCCAATGTCACAGACGGGTTCTGTAGTTGTGTTTTCAAAAACACTAAGTTTTTGCCTGACAGCACCAAAGATTAATTTACATCTGTAGTGTAGTTGAGAACCAGTCAAATGCTCATGTGGAACAGAGGTCTTGTGATTGACATGTACGCAATATCAGTTCTAACTTTTTTTTACACTGTACAGATATTCAGTTCATCACAATCTCAACAAATGTTGTGCAGATATTTACATTGTTCACATTTATAAATACTGTGCATTAGTCAGTAACAGCAGTCCTGAGAGGAACATAAACGTGACATCTAAGAGAGTCCACCGACCTTTCCTCATAAACGTTAAAATTGCTTTCTGAAGAAGACTGGAAAAAATAAAAATAAAAACTCCCCGCCATGCCCACATGTCGTGGTGTCCTTGAGCAAGACACCCAACCCTGTGTGCTCCCCGGGCAGCTACATTAACACGTTCTCACTCCCGACTCGTTAACATATTGACACTTGGGCAGGGACCGTCTGCGTCCAGTTTTGATGTGTCGGGTACCCCCCGCGCGTCAGTCCTTGCCGCCATCGGCTTTTCCGGTTTGTGACACTTAGGGGTCTTTGGGTCGGTGGTCTGAGGTTAATATGAGGGATCAGGATTAATGGTTAATTTTAGGGTCTCTGGTCAGGGATTGGCTGTATGTGGCTAATAGAAGTTAAATTTTGGGTCTGGGATGGTTAGTTTTGCACATTTCCTACTCTTAAAAAATATGACAACGCGTAGTGCTGGGCGGTATACCGTTTTGTACCGAAAACCTGTTTTTATTTTTGTTTTGATATGACTTTTCTGAATACCGGTGTAAATAGCCTGAACACGTGTGGAACGTTTTGTCGCAGCGGCCAGTGAACTGTTTCCCTGGGGACATGTTTCCTTGTAGCACCGCTACGCACATTAGCATGCTAACGTTATTGTTGAAACAACTGGCGGCGGGTGGTGTGTTTCAGCCGCTTATATGGTCTGACGTAAAAAAAAACCCGTTTTCACCATCGCTGAATAGTAAACAACTCTTCAGTGACGTGCACGGTTAGATTTAACTTGCTACGTTATAATGGAGACGTTATTGCATGGAGACTCTAGCGTGCTTCAATTGTGAAAAGCCCGGGGGGGAAGTAGATTTGTAGTGTAGCTGAGTTGATTGGTGTGCAAGATGAGTCGTCCTTTTAAGTTTTATTAACACGTAACGATAGACCAGATAATGATTTTTTTCTCAACCCTTCATGATCGGACCTAAATGCATGATTACTGTCTACAACCAGGTAAAGAAAAGACGTACAAGAGGAGGGAAACAGTCATACAGAGGTAAAGTAAAAGAAAAAAGTCAGTAAGCAAAGTTTGTACATTTTATTATCAGCTGAGCTGTGAGAAAAAATACCGTCAAATACTGTGAAACCGGTGTAATTGTTGAAAACACTGTGATATAAAATTTGGGTCATACCGCCCAGCTCTAACAACGCGCTCGTCCTCCTCCGCCTCATCTCGTGAAAAAC